ACAAATGCAGTCATCGCTAATAGTCAACATGGATTTATCAAAAACAAGTCATGCCAGACTAATCTGATCTCTTTCTTCGATAGAGCTACAAGCTGGGTAGATGCGGGGAATGCCGTGGATGTAGCCTACCTGGATTTCAGTAAGGCCTTCGACAAGGTCCCCCATGACCTTCTGGCAAGGAAACTAGTCCAATGTGGGCTAGGCAAAACTACGGTGAGGTGGATCTGTAATTGGTTAAGTGGACGAACACAGAGAGTGCTCACTAATGCTTCCTCTTCATCTTGGAAAGAAGTGACAAGTGGAGTGCCGCAGGGTTCCGTCCTGGGCCCGGTCCTGTTCAACATCTTTATTAATGACTTAGATGAAGGGCTAGAAGGCATGATCATCAAGTTTGCAGACGACACCAAATTGGGAGGGATAGGCAATAGTCCAGAGGACAGGAGCAGAATTCAAAATGATCTTGACAGATTAGAGAGATGGGCCAAAACTAACAAAATGAAGTTCAACAGTGACAAATGCAAGATACTCCACTTTGGCAGAAAAAATGAAATGCAAAGATACAGAATGGGTGACGCCTGGCTCGAGAGCAGTACGTGTGAAAAAGATCTTGGAGTCCTCGTGGACAACAAGTTAAACATGAGTCAGGAATGTGATGTGGCGGCAAAAAAAGCCAATGGGATTTTGGCCTGCATCAATAGGAGCATAGTGTCTAGATCTAAGGAAGTAATGCTACCCCTCTATTCTGCTTTGGTTTAGACCACATCTGGAATATTGTGTCCAATTCTGGGCACCACAATTCAAGAGAGATATTGACAAGCTGGAATGTGTCCAGAGGAGGGCGACTAAAATGATCAAGGGTCTGGAGAACAAGCCCTATGAGGAGCGGCTTAAGGAGCTGGGCATGTTTAGCCTGAAGAAGAGAAGGCTGAGAGGATATATGATAGCCATGTATAAATATGTGAGATGAAGCCACAGGGAGGAGGGAGCAAGCTTGTTTTCTGCTTCCTTGGAGACTAGGACGCGGAACAATGGCTTCAAACTACAAGAGAGGAGATTCCATCTGAACATTAGGAAGAACTTCCTGACTGTGAGAGCCGTTCAGCAGTGGAATTCTCTGCCCCGGAGTGTGGTGGAGGCTCCTTCTTTGGAAGCTTTTAAGCAGAGGCTGGATGGCCATTTGTCAGGGGTGATTTGAATGCAATATTCCTGCTTCTTGGCAGGGGGTTGACTGGATGGCCCATGAGGTCTCTTCCAACTCTTTGATTCTATGATTCTATTTATGATTCTAGCGGGGTATAAATAAAGTATTATTATTATTATTATTATTATTATTATTATTGGGAGAATGTCATATGAATGTCAGATGAAATCAAAGTAGAACTGTTTGGCAGAAGCACAACTTTTGGTCATGTTTGGAGGAGAAAGAATGCTGAGTTGCATCCAAAGAACACCAGCCCTACTGTGAAGCATGGGGGGGGGGGGGGTGTCAACATGCTTTGGGGCTGTTTCTCTGCAAAGGGACCAGGGAGACTGATTCATATACATGAAAGAATGAATGGAGCCAGGTATCGTGAGATTTGGAGTGCAAACCTCCTTCCATCAGCAAGGGCAGTGAATATGAAACGTGGCTGGGTCTTTCAGCATGACAATGATCCCAAGCACACCACCAGGGCAATGAAGCAATGGCTTCGTAAGAAGCCTTTCAAGGTCCTGGAGTGTCCAAGCCAGTCTCCAGATCTCAACCCTATAGAATACCACAATAAACACAACAACAATAATATAAACCAAAGCATCCCAACAGATGACCAGCCTTTGAAATAATTAATAATGAGGAAACACAACATACAAACAATCTACAAACCTACCAAGAAAATCCAACAAATGCTACGTTCAGCAAAGGACAAAAGGGATCCTCTCACCTCTGCAGGAGTCTACTGTATACCATGCAGCTGTGGACAAGTCTACATAGGGACCACCAAACCCAGCGTTGCCCAAAGACGAAGCAAGGAACATGAAAGGCACTGCAGACTACTTCAACCAGAGAAGTCAGCCATAGCAGAGCACCTGATGAACCAGCCTGGACACAGCATATTATTTGAGAACACAGAAATGCTGGACCACACCAACAACCACCATGTCAGACTACACAGAGAAGCCATTGAAATCCACAAGAAGCACGTGGACAATTTTAACAGAAAGGAAGAGACCATGAAAATGAACAAAATCTGGCTTCCAATATTAAAAAACTCTAAAATTACAAGAGCACAACATCCCAGAATTTGAGATCATCTGGGGAGGCCCTGCTCTCGACCCCACCGCTATCACAAGTGAGGTTGGTGGGGACGAGGAGCAGGGCCTTCTCAGTGGTGGCCCCTCACCTGTGGAACTCACTCCCGGGGGAAATTAGGGCATCAACATCCCTCCCTTCCTTCAGGAGGAAGGTAAAGACGTGGTTATGGGACCAGGCCTTTGGGCAATCTGACTCCTAGATAAGGGTAACCAGACGAATGGGACTAACAGGACTGACAACTGTGGAATTGGAAATTGAACTATGAGCTAGCGAACGTTGACCGTCAATGAGGAGGAACTGGTTTGTATTGATTGTATTGGTTTTATTGTAGTAATGTAAGAAATGTTGTTTAATTGTTAATTGATGTTATTTGTTTTACTATTGTTTGTGATACAGGCATCGAATTGCGCCTTGTTTTTGTAAGCCGCCCTGAGTCCCCTTTGGGGTGAGAAGGGCGGGGTAGAAGCAACCGAAATAAATAACTAACTAAATAAATACAAATGAAAGCACCCCCAACAGATGGCCATACAGTCTTTGCAATAATAATAATACAAATCAAATTATTATTATTATTAAACTTTATTTGTACCCTGCTAGCATCTCCCAAAGGATTCGATGCGGCCTACACAGGCCGAGGCCTCAACACACAACATAACAATACAATCTAAGCAAATCAAACAATTAAAGCAGAATAAGCAAAATAACATCAGGCAAAAAGCAATACACTAAAAACACAATAAAACTGGGCCGGGCCAGAGCAATGGATACAAGAATTAAAAGTGCTGATGTGACAGGAGGTGTATAGGGCTTCTAGGGCAAGTGCGCTGTGCGATGTGCAGCAATCATTAGTTCTAGTAAAGTGCTTATGGGACTTGGTATTGGAGATTTCCTAATCTGGGAAGGCACATCGGAACAGCCAGGTCTTCAGGTTCTTTCTGAAGACTGCCAATGTAGGGCCCTGTCTAAGATCTTTGGGGAGGGTGTTCCAGATCGGGGGGCCACCACAGAAAAGGCCCTGTCTCGCGTCCCCACCAAGCGCGCTTGCGACGTAGGTGGGATCATGAGCAGGGCCTCTCCAGATGACCGAAGACTGTTCGGAAACTTCAACTAGTCCAGCGAGCGGCAGCCAGACTGCTCACCGGAGCGACATACAGGGAGCATACCACCCCCCTGCTGTGCCAGCTCCACTGTCTGCCGATTCAGTTCCGAGCACAATTCAAGGTGCTGGTTTTGACCTACAAAACCCTGTACGGTTCCGGTCCAGTGTATCTGTCCGAACGTATCTCCCTCTACGTCCCACCTCGGAGTCTGAGATCATCTGGGGAGGCCCTGCTATCGACCCCACCACTGTCACAAGTGAGGCTGGTGGGGACGAGGAGCAGGGCTTTCTCAGTGGTGGCCACTGTGGAACTCACTCCCGGGGGAAATCAGGGCATCATCATCCCTCCTCGCCTTTAGGAGGAGGGTGAAGACTTGGTTATGGGACCAGGCCTTTGGGCACTCCGGCAATTAAATCAGACAACCAGGCGAGTAAGACCAGCAGGATTGATGAAGTGGAACGTAAAACTAGATCTATGAGTTAGCGAACGCTGACCATGTAAGAGGAGAAACTGGGTTTGTATTGGTTTTATTGGTTTTATTGATTTTATGGTTATAATGTATATTTGGTGTTAACTGTGTATTGATGTAATTTTGTGTTTGATTGTTTTTATGATGCAGGCATCAAATTGTGCCTTGCTTTTGTAAGCCGCCCTGAGTCCCCTTCGGGGTGAGAAGGGCGGGGTAAAAGAACCCCAAATAAATAAATAAATCAATAATGTGTGGGTTCGTAGATGGAAATGCGGTCACGCAGGTAGGATGGTCCCAAACCGTTCAGGGCTTTGTAGGTAAGCACCTGCACCTTAAATTGGGCTCGGAAAATAAACGGCAGCCAGTGGAGCTCCTTGAACAGGAGGGTTGACCTCTCTCTGTAAGGGGCCCCAGTTAGCATCCTGGCTGCTGCTCGTTGGACCAGTTAGAGCTTCCGAGCCGTCTTCAAGGGCAGCCCCACGTAGAGCGCATTGCAGTAGTCCAATCTGGAGGTGACCAAGGCATGGACCACCCCGGCCAGATCAGCCTTCGGATCAAAGCACCTCAACAGATGGCCACCCGGTTTTTGCAACAACAACAACAACGACAACAACAATAATAATAATACAAATCAAAGCACCCCCAACAGATGGCCATCCAGCCTTTGCAATAAGAATACAAACCAAAGCATCTCCATAAAGCCTTTGCAATAATAATATTAATATTACTAATAATAGGAGCAACCCCAGGGGCCACCCAGCCCAGCCCACTTCTGCTTTGCAGCCAGAGAACAAACACATGACCTCAGAAGAAAGGAACGTTGACTCCAGCTGGCAGTGTCCCCTGGCGGGTGACGTCACCAACTCCCCCCTCCCTCCCTTCCCTTTCCCTCGCGCCAGCCTCTCGGTTTCCACGGCAACCGCGCGAGGCCGCCGCAGCCGTTAGGGATGGTTTGATTGACAGCCGCGTTCGTTGGCTTCCTTTTCAATGGGGGGCGCGCTAGGGGTGTGGCGGGGGAGAGAGAGGGTGCCGGCTCGCTCTCGGCCAATCAGGAGGCGAGAGGGCGGAGCTCAGTGACGGTGCCGGCTCGGTCTCGACCTATCAGGAGGCGGCAAGGCAAGCGCGAGTGGGCGGGGCCTGATGACGGGAGCCGGCGTAGGGGTATAAAAGGGCAGGCGCAAGGCATTCTCTCCCCTGACGCGGTGGAGGAAGGAGCTCTGGAAGGTGGATTTGATTGACAGGTGGGTTTTGTTCTTTCCTTTTCTTGTCTAAATGATGTATATAGTCCTGATTTAATTACTTAGGCTTTGCAGTAGTAGCTTTATTTTCTCTGTGAGTGGTATATTATTTTTAATTTGAATTTAATGTAACATTTGGGAAATAATTCATAAGCTACATTACCTGAAAGGATGTATTTAGTAATACTACTGGAATATTGTGTCCAATTCTGGGCACCACAATTCAAGAGAGATATTGACAAGCTGGAATGTGTCCAGAGGAGGGCTACTAAAATGAACAACGGTCTGGAAAACAAGCCCTATGAGGAGCGGCTTAAGGAGCTGGGCATGTTTAGCCTGAAGAAGAGAAGGATGAGAGGAGATATGATTGGCATTTATAAATATATGAGAGGAAGTCACAGGGAGGAGGGAGCAAGCTTGTTTTCTGCTTCCCTGGAGACTAGGACGGAACAATGGCTTCAAACTACAAGAAAGGAGATTCCATCTGAACATTAGGAAGAACTTCCTGACTGTGAGAGCCGTTCAGCAGTGGAACTCTCTGCCCCAGAGTGTGGTGGAGGCTCCTTCTTTGGAAGCTTTTAAACAGAGGCTGGATGGCCATCTGTCAGGGGTGATTTGAATGCAATATTCCTGCTTCTTGGCCCATGAGGTCTCTTCCAACTCTTTGATTCTATGATTCTATGACTAGCTGTTCCCTGCCACGCATTGCTGTGGCCCACATGGGGATTCTGTGTAGGAGGTTTGGCCCAAATCTATCATTGGTGGGGTTCAGAATGCTCTTTGTACATGAACTATAAATCCCAGCAACTACAACTCCCAAATGTCAAGGTTCTATTTTCCCCAAACTCCACCAGTGTTCACATTTACGCATATTGAGTATTCGTGTAGAGTTTGGTCCAGATCCAGCATTGCTTGAGTCCACAGTCATCTTTGGATGTAGGTGAACTACAACTCCTAAAACCAAAGGACACTACCCACCAAACCCTTCCAGTATTTTCTGTTGGTCATGGGAGAACTGTGTGCCAAGTTTGGTTCAATTCCATCGTTGGTGGGGTTCAGAATGCTCTTTGATTGTAGGTGAACTATAAATCCCAGCAACTACAACTCCCAAATGACAAAATCAATTTTTTTGAGTGAAGGACATACATTTGGTTGTTAGGTGTATGCTGTCCAAATTTGGTGTCAATTCCCCCAGTGGTTTTTGAGTTCTGTTAATCCCACAAATGAACATTACATTTTTATATATATATAGATTGGTCAAATATGGCTCATTGTAATCATTCTATTGACCTGCCTTTTAGGCCTCTTCCTCTCAGAGTATAAACATAATAATATTAATAATATTAACACTGATATCAGGGATTGGGAAGAGCGGGGATTGGGGAAGAGCGGGGATTTTAACTGAATTGTTAATTATATTATTATTAACAATAGCAATAATAATTACAGGTAAAATGTGATATGCTGTTTCAGAGCTTTTGTTGTCCTAAGTTTAGTTGATGAAGACTGGAAAATAGTTATCACAAATCTTACATATTCTAGCAGAATCTGGACCTATGGTATCTTTTCAGCATTTCTCTTTCATAGAATCATAGAATAATGGAGTTGGAAGAGACCACATGGGCCACAATTCCTGGCTCGAGAGCAGTACGCGTGAAAAAGATCTTGGAGTCCTCATGGACAACAAGTTAAACATGAGTCAGGAATGTGATGTGGCGGCAAAAAAAAGCCAATGGGATTTTGGCCTGCATCAATAGGAGCATAGTGTCTAGATCTAGGGAAGTCATGCTACCCCATGCTCTATTCCGCTTTGGTTAGACCTCACCTGGAATATTGTGTCCAATTCTGGGCACCACAATTCAAGAGAGATATTGACAAGCTGGAATGTGTCCAGAGGAGGGCGACTAAAATGATCAAGGGTCTGGAGAACAAGCCCTATGAGGAGTGGCTTAAGGAGCTGGGCATGTTTAGCCTGAGGAAGAGAAGGCTGAGAGGAGATATGATAGCCATGTATAAATATGTGAGAGGAAGCCACAGGGAGGAGGGAGCAAGCTTGTTTTCTGCTTCCCTGGAGACTAGGACGTGGAACAATGGCTTCAAACTACAAGGAGATTCCATCTGAACATGAGGAAGAACTTCCTGACTGTGAGAGCCGTTCAGCAGTGGAACTCTCTGCCTGCCGGAGTGTGGTGGAGGCTCCTTCTTTGGAAGCTTTTAAACAGAGGCTGGATGGCCATCTGTCAGGGGTGATTTGAATGCAATATTCCTGCTTCTTGTCATGGGGTTGGACTGGGTGGCCCATGAGGTCTCTTCCAACTCTTTGATTCTATGATTCTATGATCTAGTCCAACCCCCTGCCATGCAGGGAAAGAGCAATTAAAGTATCCCCATCAGATGACCATCCAGCCTCTGTTTAAAAGCCTCCAAAGAAGGAGCTTCCACCAGATTCCACTATTCAGAGATTTCCACCGCTGAACACCTCGTACAGTCAGGAAGTTCTTCCTAATACTTAGGTGGAATCTCCTTTCTTGTAATTTAAGCCCTTTGCTCTGAGTCCTAGTCTGCAGAGCAGCAGAAAACAAGCCTGTTCCCTCTTTCTTATGGCATCCTTTCACATATTTATACATAACTCTCATGTCTCCTCTCCACATCTTCTGCAGGCTAAACATACCCAGCTCTTTAAGATGCACCTCATGGGGCATGGTCTTCAGACCTCCTCTTTGAAGGGCTTACTTTCTGTAGCATTGGTCGACTCAAGGAAAAACTTAACACATGAAGCACTTAGACATTAAGTCTCAAAATGATGATAAAACTCAAGGGAAGATGGGAAAGTTTGGCACTAACCAACATAAATGTGTACCAACTATTTTCTGTGGGATCACAACGCACACATACTTGGCAAACATTCGATGCCGTTTTTGACATACAAGACATACAGGGGTATTTTGGCATTTCCAACTTTGGTGCCTGGAGATTATCCTTGATTCCAGTCACAGGGGGTGCTGTTGCTTCATCTACTATGAGGCCGAGTCATTTTGATTGTATTTCCTCCTTGTTCTTTGATTGCCAGCATTTTTAATGGTGTTATAAATACCTCCCTGTTTTAAGTGGTCTGTAATTCCTCTACTGACAGCCCAGCTATTTTCGAACTGCTTAGGTGGACAGTAAGCTACGCTTAACAGTCGGGTGCTCAATTCGACTTGAGCTTTGAACTTGCCACCTTCCAGTGGGCAGGGATCTATTGCTGCTGGTGATTAATCATCTGTGCTATAGCCCGGGCCTTTGGAGATGATAATAATAACCTAAAAGCAATCACAATGTAAGACATAATCTTCTTATGAATTGGAAAGAACAATGTATTCTTTTCACTTAAATACTATTTATTTTATATGAGTAGGCAGTGATCTAATTAAGCCAATATATTCCAAGAAAATAATCATATAATAACAACCTGAAAACACTAACAATATGAGGCATAGCATCATTTGAATTTGAAGTATACAATTCTAACCAATATTTGAATACAAAGAACAGCCATATAGTGGTATCAATTAGAACACAAATCTTATCGGGTGATTGTTTCCAGGTTATTATATGATTGTTCTTTTTTAATATATTGGTTTAATTAGATCTTCCTCTCTTTCATTATTACTTTAAAGCTTTTTGCAGCATTACACGCATTTAAAAAAGCTGGGCACCTTTTCTCATTGACACATGAAGACTTTGCCACCTCGTGCAGGGTATCTTATGTACCTTGCATTTTTCCCCTTCAAACAGATTCCCAGGGGTAATTCCCAGTACTAAATCCAATGCACAAGAAAAAGCAGTTGAACAATGGCAGAAATAAATTAGTCTGTTATGAAATCCAATATTGGGTTGAGCATCCCTTATCTGGAATTCCGAAGTCCTTCAAATTCTGAAATTGACCACAAGCATGGTTGAGCAATTGACATTTCTGCTTTCTGAGGGTTCAGTGGATACAAACCTTGTGTATAAAATTACCTTCAGGATATGTGTTTAATGTCGGTATGAAGCATCAATGGATTTAATGTTTCGGTTTGGGCCCCATCTGCAAGGTATGTGCACAGGCATCAACCCCCCCCCCCCCCCCCCCCCCCCAAATCTGAAATCTGGTCTAGATTATTTTGGATAAGGGATACTCAACTTGTAGGAGAGCCTAGTGAGGAAAAGAGTTTATGTTATTCTCCAGAGTGTTACAAAGTCTTTGCCCCCTGTTGAAATGACATCAATACAAGTTACTCAAGCCTTCCTGAGAAGAAGGGCATTTTGCAATCAGCTTCATGACAGGAAGACTCTTTCCATCTTAATCGGCTGTGTCATTTTAGATGCTTTGGAACATGGGGAAGAGCCCTTTGTGAGGATCCCTGGGTCTGATGAGAAGTTTGTAGTAATACATCTGGCAATAAATTTCACATGCTGTTTCTGCCTTCAACTTGTTTTTGACTACCCTAAGATGAATACATTATGGATTCTTCTTGGTAAGATTTGTTCGGTGGAGGTTTGCCATTACCTTTCTTAGGTTCTACACTGCCATATAAAGCAGTTTGGAACTGCATTATATGGGTCTACACTGACCATATAATGTCAGTGTGGAGCTAGCTTTAGAGCAATGGTTCTCCACATATGGTTCCCCAGATGTTTTGGTCTTCAACTCTCAGCAATCCTAACAGCTGGTAAACTGGCTGGGATTTCTGAGAGTTGTAGGCCAAAACACCTGGGGACCCACAGGTTGAGAACCACTGCTTTAGAGCAGGGTCCTCAAACTTCTTAAACAGAGGGCCAGGTCACAGTCCCTCAAACTGTTGGAGGGCCAGATTATAATTTGAAAAAAACATGAATGAATTCCTATGCACACTGCACATATCTTATTTTTAGTGGGGAAAAACCCCCACTTAAAACAATGCAATAATTAAAATGAAAAACAATTTTAGCAAATATAAACTTACTAGTATTTCAATGGGAAGTGTGGGTCTGCTTTTGGC